GGAACCAGGGATTGAACTCAGGCCTTTAACTCAGGCCTTTGTGCTTGCCAGGGAAGCGCTTATTCCACTGAGCCATCTCCCTGGCCCTGAGGCTTATTTTTGAGGTAAGGTTTATATTCTGACTTTACTGGGGGGAAAATCATGCTAGGCTTATTTTCAGGTTAGGTCTTATTTGGGGGGAATACGGTAGTTCCTGGAAGTGGGTCCCTGGGGACACCTTTGCAAAGAATGCCCTTCCTTGGGAGCTTTTGCCCCTCCCAGTGTCTCTGCCACTGTGAGGGAGCAGCTGTCTCCCACCACAGCCCACCATGATCTCCCGCCCTGCCGCCGTCCTGAAGCAATGGAGCCAGCTGACTGCTCCAACCATGAGCCAAAACAAACCCATCCCCCCTAAAGTTGTAGGCCTCAGGTACTTTGTCCCAGCAACAGAAAGGTGACTAAAACACAGTATTGCTTTTCTCTCCCCACAAGAAGATTGGAGCTTCCTGCCCTGTTGAATTCAGATGGCTGGGGAAAAGGCGAGCAGAAATGCCCTGCGTCACTTCAGGGAAGAAGGTAGAAGAGCCAGCACGCGTCCTCCCTTGTTTTCTTTTCCTTCCCACCATGACAACCAGAAACATTTCTGCTAGCAGCTTCCATGTGGCATTTTCTAATGATATTCAGGGTCCCAGTGGACCCAGGATGGATACGTGGTGGGAGTGAGAATAAATCTTCGTTTTAAACCACTGAGATCTTGAGATTAAGCAACATATGGCCCGGCCAGAGACAGCCAGAGGCCAGCAAGTCTTTCAGAAAGGCTACTCCGGAAAGGATGTGAGAACGTGGCCCAAGCAGCCCACCATGGAGCATCCCCTCCCTGCCCAGTCGGAAGGTGCCATCACACACGAGTCCTACCCTCTACCCAGGGTCCTGGCATCCAAAAACGGTCACTACTTGGGACAGAACTGTCTGCTGGTTTTGAATTTCACAGTGGCTTGCAAGGAGGTGTGACTCACGGGCACAGCGCAGGCTGTACAAATCCTCAGTGCTCAGCTCCACCCTTTTGACCAGTGTGCACGCATGTGTGTTCTGCAGCACTATGGGGTACAGAACACTTCCGTCCTTCAAGAAATTTCCCTTATTCCTCTTCGCAGTCAATCGCATCGCACTGCTCTGAACCCAACAGAAGCGGAGGCAACTGGTGATTTTTATAGCCATCAATTAGTTTTTCTTTCCTTCCTTCCTCCCTCCCTCCTTTTTTTTGTTTCTTCCCTTCCATCATTTGTTGAAATGTAGGTCTCACTGTGTTGCCGCTGAACTCCTGGGCTCAAGGGATCCTCCTGCTTCAGCCTCCCTAGTGTTGAAACTCTATGTGTATCCCATAGTGCCCAGCTTCCACCAGCTACTTTCACTCTTTGAGAACTTCACACAAATGAATTTATAGTCTGTGTTCTTTTGTATCTGGCTTCTTCAGACTAATGCTTTTGAGAGTCATCTATGTTGTTGTATCAGTGTTTCTTCCTTCAACAGTTTATATCCACTTACCTATTCCAAAGGACATTTGCATTATTTCCTTCTTTTTTTCTTTTATTTTTTACTATTACAAATATTATATAGGGCCAGCCAAATAGCTCAGTGGATTAAAGTGCCTGCAAGCAGGGGCGGGGGTTCAGTCCCCTGGCCTACCATGCTGGCCCCGCCCCCCGGGGCATGCTGACACAGTAATTGAGACTGGGCACAGTGGCTCGCACCTGTAATCCCAGTTCTTGGGAGGCTGTAAACAGACGGATCACTATGAGCCCGAACTAGAAGTGAGACCCTGAACACCCTGTAGACCCTTCCCCAAAATTCAAACAAAAAAAATATTATTATACACATTTATGTGCAAATCTGTGTGGACATATGGTTTCATTTATACTGGATAAATACTTATGAGTTGAATTTCTGGGTCATATATTGTTTACGTGTGAGTGTGTGTGTGTGTGTGTGTGTGTGTGTGTCTCACTGGGGATCGAACTTTGGACCTTTACACAGCTATATCCCCAGTTCTTTTTAATTTTGAAGCAAGGTCTAAGTTGCCCAGGTGGGAATTGAACTTTCAATCCTCCTGCCTTAGCCTCCCAGAATGCTGGGATTACAGGTGAATATCTCCTAATCCATCATGCAACATGAGAGAGGAAGTTTCAGTAGTGAAGAATGAACCAAGCCCTGACTCTTGCTCTTAGCTGTTGGAAGGTCACTGGAAAGCCTGGGCAGCTTCGGCCTGGTGAATGTTCCTGTGTATGGGCGGTCTTGGGTCACTGGAGATCATTCCTAACATTGTGACCTCTGGTGGGGGCTTTGGGCCAGATGCACCAGCTTGGCTGTGAAGGGGCCAGAAACCCAGATCAGCCTTGGGGTGGTCAGCGAGGTGTGAGTGACTGACATCAAGGCTGGGATGCGCTGTCTGTGTGGCAGGACCTTGGGGTCCTAGACCACACTGTGCTGAGAGAGGTCACAAAATGATAAAAACCTTCTTAGCCTCCCCCAAAAAACTCCAGTCTTCCTAGGTGTCCACAGGGCACTGGTTCCAAGACTCTCCGAGGAGACCAGACTCAGTGTTCCAGACCCTTATGAAAGAGAGGATGAACTTGCTATACCTGTGCTCCTCCTGTATACTTTAGGTCATGTCCGGGTGGCTTGTCCCACCTAATACGTCACTGTCATGTAAACAATTGCTAAACTCTATTATTTAGGGGGCAATGATAAGAAAAAATCTGTACATGTTCAGTAGAGAGGCAAAGCCTCCCCTCCCCCTGTATTTCAATCCAAGGTTGACTGAATACAGATTTAGAAGCCTGGGGCATGGAGGCTGCCCGCTGGCTGTGTGTCTACCTATCTGTCTGTCTGTCTGTCTATCTACCTATGTATAATGATATATAGAATATGTTGAATAAATAAAATACACATCCTTTTTAAAAATATAAAATCCTGATTACTTGTAATGTACTCTGAAATTTTCCTTACTATCGCAATATTTCCTTTTCCTGCACTTTACGCTGTGCCTACATGGCCCACTAAACTGGCTTCACACTGCCTTTTGGACTGGAGACCAGAGCTTCAGCAGCACCACAGTTCAGCCTCCTGTGCTGGGATCTCATGGATCAACTGTAGTACAATCAGCCTGCAACCTGGCCCAGGCCATGCAAGGGCCCAACCCTGGCCCAGACCGGCTGAGGGCCTCCTCGTGGGCTGGGGATCCCACAGGTCTTTGGGGAGGGCCCACCAGAGCCTTCTGAAGGCTGCGCTCCAGGTCCTCAAGAAACCACACAGTGCTTGGAACCCACTCCCCGGCCGGCACAGCTTTCCTGGTGGACACACCCAAAGCTAAGAGGTTGCTAGCAACGGTTGTTCGTGGGCTTGGGAGTGAGGACAGAGCTTGAGCTGCGGACAATGGTCCACATTCATGCATGTGACAGCCCTGGTGGTCAGGGAGGGCCAGAGAGCCTAGGACAGCAGGCCCTCCCTTTGTGGTGAGCTGACTGTGGATATAAGACTGGATTCAAGGACCCAGTGACCCTGAGAGGGGCTTCAAATCCTGCCCTGACCTCACAGGCTGGGGTCATCCTCCTTCCTGTCATCCCCACATCCTCCTGCCTCCCTCTCTTTCCTCCTAGCTCTGGCTGTGTGGGATGAGTCTGTGGTGCCTCCTCACACTGCTGTACTTCCCAGGGGCGGGAGCCCAGTCCTGCTTCTCTCCTGTGGTGAACAATCAGAGGCCACTGGGAAAGAAGGATCTCACAGCACTTTATTTCTGGTCTGAAGAGGGTCAGGGGGTCACATCCCTCAGTGGCTGGCAAGGTAGGGCGGGGGAGACTCTGATTGGTTCAAGGATAGCTGCATCCGGCTGCATCTTCCTTCTCATGGGTTCCAGTATTGACCACATTGTAAGCTCTTAGAGGGGAAGGAGGAGGCTGGTGCAGTAAGCTGTTGGGGGGCTCAGCCTTAGGGTACCCATCAGGTTGTAGCCCCCATCTTTGCTAGTTACCTGCCACGCTTCTGGCACAATCGGGACATCTGCCTACACTTGCCACCTGTGGATGAGGAAAATGGATCAGTCATCAGTTGAAACGATGTTGATTATACATGCTGTGGGGCTGGGGCACAGGCCATCGACCTGCCCCTCAAGAAGCTTCCACACAAGAATGAATAAGGACACGCATGAGAACAGCCAGTGAGAGGTTTCCACGACCTAGCCCTTGTACAATTGACTTTCTGGTAGGAGAACCAACCAAGAAAATTAAGACAAGTGCATGGGTGGTGACAAGCACTGTAAAGAAAATAAAGCCAAGGAGTCAAGGAGGTCCAGGGGCGGGGATCATCCTCACAGGGATAGGTGACCTCGTCCTCCAGGAAGAAGTGACATTTGGACAAAGGCCCGAAGGAAGTAAGCAGGAGTCCTGTGCATGAAGGAATGCAGGAAGGGAGCTCTCAGCAGAGGAGCAGCCATGCAAAGGCTCTTGGGTAGGCAGTGTTAGAAGCGTGGTCCCTAGGGTGGGGTGCTGAGAAGTCCTGGAAACCGGAAGAAGCAGGGCCGCATGGGAAATAATGAGATCACTGAGGACATCAGCTCTAAAGGGCTGAAGCTCTGAAGAGAGGCTGGTCTGTCTGATTGAGTTGTTATATTAAAAATAAAGTTTAAAAAACAAGGCTGAGCCAGGAGTGGTGGCTGGAATCTCAGCATTCTGAGAAGCTGTAGAGCACAAGTTTAAGTTCAACCTGGGTAATAATGGGGGTGGGGATGTAGCTTAGTGTGAAGTTCCTAGGTCCAATCCTGCTACCACAGAAGAGAAGTAAGAGGGAGGAGAATGAGGAGGAAGATAAGGAGAGGAAAAAGGAGGAAGAGGAGACAGAGCAAGAGAAAAAAGAGAAGAGGAGGAGAAAAGAAAAAGGAGAAAAAGAAAAAAAAAAGTCTATTTTCTGACCATTTGTATGAATCTGGGCGTCATGATTTGTTTTGACCAGTAGAATATGGCGGCAGTGAGAGTGGCCAGCTCTAAGACTGAACACTTTCTCTCTGCCAATCTCTCTCTCTCTCTCTCTCTCTCTCTCCACTACCACATGGCCAATCTTAGGTGAGACCAGTGGAAAATTAGATCACGAGGTAAAGAACTGAGGGTCCTGTACAAACAGGGATCCCTTCTGGCTGTCAGTTGACCTCTGACACACACATAAACCCAGCTGCGAGCAGAAGAACCACCCGGCTGGGCCCAGCCTACGTCTCCAAACTGCAGTGGGGAGCTGAACAGAGGGCCTGGCATGCTGCATGCATGCCTGATTAAAACAGCCTTGCCGAGGGGCCCTCAAGAACCTGAGCCCGGGTCTTGGTGCCGGCTAAGGCCCCTCTGGGTCTTGACGCCCTTCTCATCCCCATTCTTACTGGTGAGGATGACGATCCCTGTGATGAAGAGCACAGCTGCTACCAGCAGCCCCCGCTTCCGGAGAGTGGCCACATCTGTGGAGAGAGCCATGAGTCGAGGGGCCTAGAATTTTCCTCCCCACTTCTTCCTGTGGCTAACTCACCGTAGGAGAAGGGGTCCTTATCTGGATCTGGAAAGAAAGACAAGGCACAAGTCAGTGTCAGCGAAGGTCATATATATGAAATACTCTCTTGTCACTTTCTGACTCTACACCCTGCTTCATTTTTCTGGATAGCATGTTAAAACCACTTGGTCTATAATTACAATTATTTTTATATTAACTGTAAATATTTTATGTATTAATAAAAATATATATGAATATAATTACAATTATTATTTGTTGTCTTTCACCTCCTGCTAGAATGTTAGTTTCCTTTCTTTCTTTCTTTTTTTTTTTTTTTTTTTTTGTATTTTAGGGAAGAATCTACAGGGTGTTCAGGGTCTCACTACTAGATCAGACTTGTAGCGATCTGCCTGTTTACAGCCTCCCAAGAGCTGGGATTACAGGTGCACACCACCACACCCAAACTCAATCACCGTCTCAGAGCACCCCAGAGATGGGGCTGGAATGGCAGGCCTGGAGGCTTGAACCCCTGACCCCTGTGCCTGCTTGCAAGCATTTTAATCTGCTGAGCTATTTGGCTGGCCCAGAATGTTAGTTTCTTGGGTGAGAGATTTTGTCTTTTTTGGTTATGCCAATATCCCTGGCACTTAAGTCAGGGGCTTTACACACAAAGGCACTCAGTGTTTGTTTGGCTGGTTGTTTGTTGCCATACTGGGGTCAAACAGGACCTTCCCATTGAGGTATATTTTCATTTTCTTATTTTGAGACAGGGTTTCACTAAACCTCTAAGCTGCCTGGGCTGGGCCTGAATGGTGACCCTCCTGCCTCAGCCTCTAAGAGTGATGTGTGCCACACTCCTGGCTGTTAGAGGGTCTGTGCTGCACAAACAGGTGAACGGACACTCTCTGCTACCCGCAGGTGTGGCATTCCCTTTATGCACCGGGTGCTGGGCAGGCAGGGAATGGGAGATGAGGTCTCCAGGGAAAGAACCAAGTGCCCTGAAACAAAACCCTCCTGGCCCACAGCCAACCCCAAATGCATCAGTGAGCCCAGCCATGCCTAGAAGGGCCACCAGTTGAGCACAACCTACATCTCACATGGCAGGACTGAGAGCTAAATAAACAGTGAGCTGCCTGAGTCTCTGCCTTTTGTCCTGGCCTGTGTGTAGCATTTACAGCTACTCAGACATCTGGTGTCCCTCTGCCAAGCAAGACATCATTTATTCTCTCCACCCATGGGTCCTTCAAAAGGGCTGAGCACATTTCAGGACCTGGGAAATGGCAGCTCCCAGTGCGGGAAGGGAGTTACTGACCAAGTTGTCTGTGGATGTCATTCCTCCTGTCGTGTCGGTCCGGCGACGGTCTGTGGTAGTGGGCTGTGGTGCCTTCGCTGAGACGAGCAGAGGGAGTGGCTACAAGATGGGGAAGGGCGGATGGGAGTCGTGGAGGCAGAAATGGGGTGCCCCCCCACATCTATAAAGCAGCCTGCAAAGGACAGGCGCCCTGCCCCCCACACCCAGGGAGGCAGCAAGTTGTGCTCACCCCTCCCCAAGCCAGTTAGGACCTGCTGCCCCAGCTCCCAGCTGGCCTCTGTCCTTGAACCTCCAGGGCCACTCCTCACATAATCTAAGATTTAAGTGCACCCCCGGGCATGGTCAGACCCGGGACTCAGCTCCTGGGCGCAGCCATCCTGCCTAGAAATGCTCGCTGCAAAAGGCTTGCTGAGTATCTCTCTTCCCCTAAATCAATCTCAATCTC